AAGTGCCATAAGTGGCACTGATTTGGTGTGGCTTGCTATGATGCAGAATGTACCAGTCAGTAGTGCCACTGGCTTTGCTCTCTGATCTTTGCATGCAGCTTCTGTGTGTAGTCAAAGCCTGCAAAAAATGTACTAAAGATTTTGCCTTTAAAGTACAGGCTGCCAAAGCATACTGGGGAACTGACTTCTAAGGAGGGAGTTTGCATAGTGGTGATACGCAGCTGCCTCATGATCACCCAGGTGTCAACTTTAGTTTGTTCTCAGAGAAGGGACATGTGAGGGAGCTGTTGTCTTGGGGTAACTGCAGGACAGTACAGTAAAACCAGCAAACAAGCGGACATCGGAGGTGTTACAGGGGCCACACTTAATTGCAGTATTATGACTGATAAGCCTTCCTCTGTCTACGACTTAACTCTGCACATGCAACTGTGGTTCACAGATCCCAGAAACACTGGTCAGAAAGTTGATGGCCTTTCCTCTTGACTGTTACTGCTGCTCCAAATGTGATGCTGTATTGAGGAGACTATGCTGAGAAAGTTACTTATCTCACAATATTGCCCATTTTTCAGGCCAAGAACAGTTTAAAAAGGCTTGTGCTTGTTTCTTGCTTTTCTCCTTGCTAACTATTACTCTTTTTGGATAGTCTTGTTTACTTTTGCAAAACTTCAGGTTGCCTTACGCCTTGCTCTACAGCTGCAGGCAACTAAGGGGGGATGACTAACATTGATCACACATGTCCAGATCACTGCTTTCACTTGCTTTTTTGAAACCAGAGAGCTCACATGAGAGCTACTTGAAGATGCAGGTTTCCAGCTCTCCCTCCCCACCTCACCAAATCCTGTTTAGCACCACAAATGCCACAGCTCATGTTCTACAGCGTCTTTCAGGCAGCCCTTCTCCCACCGCACTGAGTCTGCAGAGAAGTGGTTCTAAGAGTCACAAAAGGCAAGCTCAGAGGAGGAATAGTCTTTAGCAATATTAGTGTGTTTGCTAATGGCAGTCACACCTACTTCCTCTAGCTCTAATCAGAGGATGCCTGGCTGTCAGGTGGTAGAGATATGCAGCTGAAAAACAGAGGCCTTTATAGGCGCCTAGCCCTGCCTTGTGTACCACCTGCTGCTTATGGAAACTTAAGACTTGTCAAAGAGAGGCTCATTCTAGATTTTCAATATTTAATGCTCATTGGAAATGACAGTTCAGCATTAATCTGCTACCCCAGTGAGATCAAGGCAATCCCCACCCGCTATACTGTGTGTTTGTAAGCCATTGCAGGAATACAGAGGAAGTATGGAAAGCTTGGAGGTATCCTGGATGCACTTTCAACACACTGGCAGTACTTTTTTTTTCCTAAGGACTGTCACTCACTTTAATTCTTTTGGTTTTAACTCTTAGAGGTGAAGAAAAATAGAAGTGTGAAGTAGCAGCTGTCAAAATAATGGAACAGCAGGATCAAATTGCTTAGAAACTTCCCACATTCCAGGTCCTCATTCAATTCTGTGCCACACTTTATTACTAAATAAATTACCCCAGGCAGAGCCAGACTACCATGGTCAAAGTTCTCAGCTCACTTTACTTGCTTTCTGCCAACAGGGAATGGGGCAGAGGCAGTAACAGCACCTGCTTCCAACACTGGGCAAAGGTATGAGTTGGAGAAACTAAACCAAAGAACATCGGTCCTTTGTGGAGACAGGCAAGTACCTAAGGTTGGATGTCTAAATTTAAAGGTGTGAATACTGACTTCCCCTTCTCTTCCTTTTTCTTCTCTCTGATGTGTTAGACCATTTCTCTCCAGCAGTTAAAGGGTGCAACTGAGCTACTCATCCCCGCTCATATTTTGTAGAGCTTAGATCCTCTAAGACCAGGCAGAGAAGGGTAGGACATACGGGTTCAACACCAAGATTCACAGAACTGCCGTTTCACCCCCCAGACCACAACAGATGCTTCTGCCTCGCTTTTAAGCCACAGGTCAATCTTCTGTGTGTTGTGTGGAAACAGCATTTGAGGCCTCAGATGTATCTCATATATGTGCCACACTCATCGTTGTTCCCTGTATCACCCTTTAAAGACAGGGTAGATGTAATATTCCAGTTCTGGGTTTAGACAGCAGCACAGCCATGTCAGTTATGCTACTCTAGATTTACTACGGCACTTGCTTGTTTTTGATAGACTTCAATGAAATAAATCAAGTTTTCTTCTACTTGTTTTAATGTAGAATTTTGCATTACTATATATAAGCATAACACGATTTGCAAACTTTAAAGATGCAGATACTTCAAATGCTTGATAATTTACAGGTTATATTATGACTTAACCACTACTTCAGGAAAGTGGGCATGAAGTGAACCACTCTGAATACCCTTATTCCCTTCAGCACCACTCTGAACCCCATTATTCCCTTTAGCACCCTAGAAAAATCAGCAGGCTTAGTCAATGGACACGAATCAACCAGCAGCAGCGGAGGGGTCTGTGCTAGGAAATACAGCATTAGAGAGTGCAGTGCTTACGCTGACAGCAGTTACAGGACTGTGAACTGAACTTCGGTGAAAGTAGACACAAAAGCTTTTCCTCCATCCTCTTTGGGCAGCACATAGACTGCTTTGAATAACTCTCACCAGTTTTTCTCTGTATATGTAGTTTTATTAACACTGTTCTCTTCCTGATATTACCTCATTACACCCACAGAAGATTGGGTAAGAAATCCATATATGCACTATGCAGGTGTATGTTGCATATTGCTCCTTTGATGAAAAGAAGCTGTAAGAGCATGAAGCAGGCTTTGCTTTAAGCTTTAAACTGTTCTTCTCTTCTTTACTATATCAATGATATACAACCTGCCTGAAACCATAACCAAAATGAGAAGGTAGAAAAGGTAAGCATGTAAAAAAGACAGACAGTTGTGGCAGAAATTAGCTTTAATCTCAACTAAGGTCTGGATTTGAACATTTCTAACCAGTTAAGCTGTTATGAAATATGCTTATAAGAAAACTACACAGATGAAGTTAATTTCTGGTGCTTGAGTTGTGCTTTTTGTATAACCAGTTGATGCTGAGAGTACAAACCATCCTTTTGAGATGAGGCTACTGTCTTCCTCCTGCTTAAAAATAATGGCTATATGTATACTTCCTGCATTTACTTATGTGTTTTATACACAACTAAGGGAGATAAAGCATTAAAGGTAAGTGAAGGATATGCCCCTTCAGGGCATTTCCAGCATATTACAGAATGGGAAGAGAAAGGTTATTCTGTTCTCCTGGGGCAAGGAAAAACAAGAAGAGTGAATCCTCATAAAGAGGTCACTGGGCCTATGAACTATTCATTGTCATTACCAGATCACATAGTTCTTACACAGTAACTGCTGAAGACCAAGCCTAAAAATAATGAAAAAAAAAACCCAACCACAAACCTGACAGGAAGTGTAAAAACTTTACAAATGAGAGCCACTGAACCTGCTCAAACACAGTCCTATTCCTGGTGTGATGTGAATTTGTAATGCCTTCTAGGTGTACTCAGTATGGCAGCATTGTCAGGGGGTTGTTGTAATCTTTATGCCTCAAGGTAAATGTACACAGAACAGAACAATGGCTGCTCAGAATCTACAGTGAAGTATTGGCTAAAAAGAGAAATGTATTTACCTTCCAAAATCAGGAGCAGGGAGATATAATTTCAAGGTTTAAGTTTTGCGCAGCGTATCATGCCTATTGCTCAGTCTTCTATAAGCTTATCTTTTGGTGAGGTCTTGTTCTTTCTCTGCATACAAATCAAGTAGCAAGTTTTCCATCATGATGCAGACCCAATGTATCTTCTACCCAGACATCATGACTTTGACATCAGACATTCTCTGACCACAGTGGTTATTCTTTTCCTATTGTGTTCTGTGAAAAATGCATAGCTTGAACTCTGCAGTAAAGGTTTTCCTCATTCTAAATTATTTCTTTTACAAGTTATACAGAACATAACTTCCCATTACAAACAAAATTAGGAAAAGTCAAGCATCACCTAAATGAACTCTACCACACAGTGAAGCCTCCACAGAAAAGCTTCATGGGCTTCTGTGTATAGGGGGGCAATCGATGTGTTTATCCTGATTGTCATGAAGGAACTATATTGCAATAACATGATGAAGTGTACAGTTCCCTGTTGGTGTCCAATTACAGAAACAAAATCAGGGAATAGACTGTTTCTTAAATGGAGTTGCTATGTAGCAGCTCTGCTACACCCTGTTTCAGCCTTAACTTGTGCTGGCGTTTGCTGTGACAATTTCTTCTCAGGTCTCTCGAAGGACAGTGAGAACTATGCAGGAAACCATAATACGGAATCATTAACAATTACCAATGGATTAGTTTTAAATTGCATTTTATAATCAGTGACAGAAACAAGTCTAAACAGAGTCTAAACAAAACTCTGAAATGAATACAGAAAGCCAAAAATTAAGCTTTTAGTTATTAAAATATATTTTAAAGTCCAAATTAGTAACCATTAGAAGCTATTTACCTTGTACACAAGTTCAAAGACCACCACATTTCTCATAAGCAGTAAGACAAACAGGCTATACATCAGACATCTTTATATACTCTTGTCATTGTTTTTAAAGATTACTGTTCCAAGCATTGGATCAATTGGAAAAATGTCAGCTACAGTGTTCTTAACACTCCAGGCTAATATGTTTGTTTTTTTTCCTTTCGTTCCCCAGTTCTTGTAGGCAAATGTTGGCTAAAGATTTCCAAGGCAAGTAAAATCCCAACCAATGCAAATTCCTTTTTACTGCTTTTAAATAGACAGTTTTCAGATGATCTACGTTTTAACTAGCCTTAAACAACTGCTGTTAGAGTTGGCTTCTCCACAAGACTTGAGAATTCTTATTCATAGGAAGGAAATGAAAAATCAAAAGTGCAAGAAGTATAATTAAGAGTAAATGTATTTTTTTTTTTTTTTAAAGAAAGAAGGTCCAACAGTCGAAGGTGTTCTTCTGTTCTCTGCACCACTATTTCAGATAGCAGGAGATGTTAACATGATCACCTTATTCTGTGGGGAACAAAGGAGTGAGGTCAGTAATGTTACTACACTAATTACTATAATGCTGTATTAATCAAATCAGTTAAATATGATCAACATAAATTAGCTATTTGTTGTTCACATTCTCAGCCTACCCAGAATGTAGTCTTAGTATTATGCATAAAATACCCTGCTTTTAGCTCTGTTTTAGACCAAAACATAACAATTTCATTTCAATAATAAAAACCCCGAACTAAGACTTAACCATTGTAGCCACACTTTCTTTTGTAACAAACTGTAGCAGAACTTGAGTGAAAATTCCTCCAAGAATTGCAGTAAACCAACTCTACAAAAACCAATTATAAACAAATGTATATATAAAATATATATTATATATACAATAATGTTGTATATATAAATTATTATCCAAAGATTGAAGTGGTACATAAGCAGCTGGCCTTTACTGTAAATGACAAGATGATAACACTCATTTTCATATCATACGTATTTCTTTGATATGTACTTTGCACATGTTCTACTCTGGCTAATACGATCTGTAGGCAGTGTACACACTCACAAAATGCTGAAAATCAAACCTGTTGCTAAGTGGCTTAGTTTTATACCATGCAAATTAACTTGCAATTGACTGACCATTGAAGCAGGTAGTCCTTGAGAAATATTCTTGTTAAACTTTCCAGATCTTCTTTTGTGAAATGCAGTTCCTCCAGCAATGTAGTCAGGAACTGGGTGTGCACTGGGCTCATCTCGGTACTCTTGAAAAGCGGAGTAGTTTGTGACAATCTGGCAAAAAAAAAAAAGTAAAAATTAAATATATATGATATAGAAAAGTGACTTTTAAGTGTCAGATATAAGAAAGCAAAGCTTGTGAGTTCGAATACCTGTATTGAAGAAAGGCACTTATGTCATACTTGATCCATTACAGTATGTAAGGTTGTATGTATTATACAGGTGTACATTGGTCTATAATGCAGACAAATTAAATTCAGAAGAAAGGCAAAATGTTATATAATTACATGCAAAAAGGAGGTTATTGGTCATTTTCTTCTTTACCACAAAGCTCCTAAACATTCATACTGTAAAAGTTGTATAGCTCTTTATATAAGATGAGAACTATAAAATTCTTAGAGTAACCAAGAGGACTATTTTAAATACAAATATATATACACATAAATACACTCAAATATAAATTCAAGATGAATATTTTAACTCCTTGACAGAAGTTGTACTTAACTGGTAAGTCTCACACTGTCGAACTCCATGAAGACATTCAAGAGGGCCACTTACTTGGATGATTCTCCCTCTGTTCTCAAAGCCGTAACACACATAGTATGTCAAAACAGCAAATGCATTTTGCTTGAAGATCAGATTTCTCTAAACACATAGAAGCCTCTCAGAGAGGCATTTTAGAGTATTACTAATTTTATTTGATGTACATGGGTTCATGAGACACCAATTAAATTCTCAAACCAAGGAGCAATTTGAGTGAGTAATCAGAGCAATTTGATTTCTGTTTTGACAGTCTGTTCTAAAGCATTTTAAATCATACTTCTTACACAGTGAACTATTTAAAAAACAGGCTTTAAGAAAGACAAAACTAGAACAATGCTAATTTAATCTTTGAAGTTTTTCTGTGGGATATTAAGTATCAATTTTAAAGCTGATACTATAGCAAATCTTTGCTATAGTGAAATTATTTTCTGGTTTGGTAGCAAAATTAGATGCTTAAAGTCTCAAAGTGCCTGCAGTCTTCCATTTGGGCCTGATTTTCTGAACTGCTGCGTAGATGAAGTTCATCAAACTCCCACTGTTTTTAAAGCTTAAATGAATGGAAGCTGAAAGTAGTTGCCAACTAGGAGAATAAAGTGTCTATACATGAGAACAGACAATAGAAATAAATAGGGTATTAGTGCACATCCAACACCAAACATTGCACTGCTAAAGTGCATTCCTCAGTTTAGAATGAGCTATTGCCATGCAGATCTATGTATATAATCATAGAATGGTTAGAGCTGGAGGGGACCTTGAAGGTCATCTAGTTTCACCCCCCTGCTACAGACACACCTACTACACCAGGTTGTTCATAATACCTGTATGGAGGTGAGGTGAAAAGATCAGCTGTGGTTTTCATTTGTGCTTTAATTTTATTTGAATCTACTTTTATCCTGAAGTCCTTTGTTTTTCTCACAATTCTATTGCAAAGGTAGTAATACTTGAATCTACTTCCCAAGCACAAATGATTTAAAAAAAAACCAAACCTTTTTAAATGACCAAAATCAAGTATTAAAGCTTATGCTTCAACATGAAATGTCAACTGACAAGATCACTTAACAAGAACTTATCTCCTAGCACCAGTCACTTCATCTGGAATACTGTATTTAAATAAATAGTGCCAAATTTAAGTAGTGTCAAATAAAAATTGACACTATAGAGGAAGGAATAATTTTAGAATAGGTTCACAAAATTATGTGCATTTAATAAGAAACTTAAGGTAGGCAACAGCTTCTTAAAAAATTCTTAGCTCAGAAAACCTATAAGCAACAACTGAGATCAACCTCCCTGCAGTAATTGGTAATAAGACCATCTGCACTTCTAGAAAGCTGCATATGTCTTTTAAGCAAAAATAGTAAGATCTTTTGTTTGTGAACTATTGCAAAACATAGTAATTAGTCTTTTAATACAAAAAATAAATCTACAGAAAAATAGGCTTAATGAATTAAATTATTTTCTGTTTCTTTTTGGATTCCATTTCAGTAAGTACATTTAGCTAAATGTTTGAACTATCAAACACTGACACCTGGGGACAAGGACTTTGGTAGGTGCTCAGAAAAGGACACAGCATAGAAAGACTTGTGTGCAAACCTTGCTATATAAAGCCTCCCACAAAAAGGAAGTATTCACAGTTGGATTTGTGATTCTTAGACTAAGGCCACAAGGATTTGTAATGTATCTGATGACAGACAGGACTGAGTTGTTTCTTTACCGTAGTGAAATGGGTAAAGCAGAGTGCTGCTGCCCAGGGTGACAATCTGGAGGTTGAGTTTTGTATTGTTTTACCAGCATGGGAGCAGAGGAAGTGCTGATAGGGGATCAGGGTGACCACATCAGGGTGTTAACCTGGAGACAAGGATAGTGAGAGAAAGACCTGGAGATGCATTATTACCAATCTTCAGTTCACCTTCCCCAGGATTAAGTAGGTTATACATGAAACAAGACTGGTGGCACAGGCAGTCCTGACTTCCTGAGTGCTGGTACCAGGCAGTATTAACACTGCTGAACACTCTTGGCAACGTTGGAGATTTAAACACATTTTTAGCTGAATTTTCTTACTCTGGCCTTGAGTTTAACAGGACATGAGTAAGGATGTTATTTTTTCAAAAAGAGCAGCAAACTTGTGCAGTTTTAAGTAATATTCTAAAACTTAAATCTTTATACTTCCATGCTAAGCAATCTATTTGTGTTTTCCTTTCCTGGAACTGCAGTCAGTGGTATGACATGGTTTCATGATTTACAAACATGTCCTAACTCTCAGACTGTTTAAGACACTCCTTGTAAAGAGCAGCTGCTATAACCCATACTAAGAAAAAGGTATTGCTATTGTCAGAGAAACAGGCAAGCATTAAATATTGAGAAATTGAGTACTCGAGTACTCTTCTACTTTTATCTGGCTGTTGGAACAGAATTTTTTGTCTGCAAAAGAACAAACACAAGTTGCTGGTTTGCAGAGAGTGGTTGAGTTCTGTGCTCTAAGTAACACTGGTCCAATGACTATTTGAGGTATAGCTACTGCATGACAACACATTAAGGGCTGTGCTCTCATCCTTGCACAAAATGCTAACAAAATTAAACCATAATGGTATGCAAATAAACCAGAACAGCATTTGGAATCAGTATCTTCAAGCCACTAAAGGTGCAATGACCCTATCTCTGAAGAAACTATCACGGCTGATTAAATTTAATGATATATACAAGATTTCAGTTCAAGGATCATGGAAAGGCCTCGAAACTCGGCAGCACCTTCAAAAGATGTAGAATATAAATAGGAAATACGATACTTCGGACCACAACAGTAATAGCCGGCTACTGCAGCAGTTAAGAGAGAAAGATCAATTCTGGTTCTTTACTTCTTTTTCATGTTACAACATTATTCACAAAAGTTTGTTTCACATTAAAGTAAAATAAAAATAAGAATCTAAAGGATTAAATGGTTTTAAACCAATCACAAAAGCATACAGACCTAAATGTTACTGTCCAAAGTTATATACCCATTAAAATGAAACATGCTCTGTTCATGGAAAAGTAGTACAGTATAGATCAGACTTAATGAAACAGTGTCAGTTTCCTGCACACCCACTTACACCAGTTTAAGAAGTGTTAAAAATACCCAACTAAATCTGATAGATAAAATTTTGATTTGCTGGTTATTCTACATGTTCAAGGAAAAAAAAGTGAAATTCATGTGATCATCAAGCTATTAAATGACATCTATCACACAACGTTCACAGTTTCAGTGCTTTGCATGAACTAGTACTTTTATGTAATTAAAATCACTAATTGGCACTTCCTATCCAAAAATGATAATATCCTTTTATAGAAGCTCAACAAAAAGACCCCAAACTAGTTGTAAGGCACTATTCTTAGATACTGGACCTCAAGAAAACCTTTTTGATTCTGTGCAAGATGAAGTCTGTAATCCTCTTTGAAAAAAAGTTTAAATTTCAAAGCCAGTGCCGTGATATCAACCAGTTACAGCTCTCTGAAACAGATGCCTGAAACTGGGTAAGAACAAAACCACCTAAGAGTTGGAACCTTTCTGTTCCCGCAAAGTTGGTCACTTAAAATGATACAAAAAGCATGGAGAATTTGAGCACACATAAACTTACCTAATAGCATGCAAAGCACTTGGTATATTCATGAATAAAAGCTATACGTTAAATCTAAAAAATAGCAACAAAAATAAGCTCCTTCTAGGACAAGGTAACTATCGCCACTCCCTTACCTTGTCTGCTATGCTTGGAACTTGAGTGAGAATGGAATTAAACAGCAGAATGACAGAATGGGCAAGCACCACCTGTCCTTCCATAGAAAGCTTTGGAAAATAGGATATAAATGTTTTTGCCAGTTATTACAGGCATTTGAGTGCCATGAATAAGACTTAATGTAATCATCACAACATAAAAATTATTGTGTTTTTTTTTTTTTAATTCTCTCAGTTTCTATCTTTTGGTTTTTAAGCACTTAAGTCTTTTTTTATCATCAAAACCAGGATGACTGAAACTTCTACCAGAATGACAAAGTTGCACTAAATAGCACAAAAGGTTCTTGAGCATTACCTGTCAACTCCAACAAAGCATTAAACAGAACCTGATCTGAATAGAAAACCCCTTTGCACTAAAAGTCTTCCAGGGTATTGCCAATATTCAGACACAGAAGAGCAATATTTAATGAAACTGTACATTGAAGTGTACTGGTGAGATTTGGCAATGACCAGTTAGTGATCCAGTGCTTTTTGTGTTTGATTAAATGGCACTGAAAGCAAAGCAGCTTATTGAAGTCAAAATCTTTAATTCAAAAGTAGGGAATACTACCATCATGTGGCTCACAGATCTTGGAAATTGTCATTTTCCATTCAAAACTCACACTCAGTCAATTCCAGATTTGGAAGAAGAAAACTCATAAAAGTAGGACTGCTCATCTTTATAAATAATTAATTGGCGCTTAGAAGAATTAAGTTACAAAGCCTTAAATCCACAAGATTTCCAGCTTTCCGTCTTCCACATGTATTTTTCGTAAACACTTGGGACAGAACTACCTAAATATCAACTGCTACAAGAAGTATTAGCATATTTGTCTTACCAGCTCTGTACAAACCATTTAGAGTTGAAATCATGAAGGAAATCCTCTCTGATAGCTTCTACAAGATATAAAGAATTGGAACTCACAAGGACTGGGGTGTTTTGATTTTGTTACAGATTTGATGTGCAATAAGAATGTTATTAACTGCAAATACTATTCTTCTAACGTAGCAGTTTTACAGAATACAGTCTTAGATTCCATTTTAATTATGTTCCTATGACGGAAGTCTCTGACACAACTGATTAAACAATTTTGTTTAAGACGAATGGCTAGACTGAGTCAATACAACAAGCGTTACAGATCAGCAATAAAACTCATCGAAATAATGTGCACTGCAGCCCACAGACCATCTGCCTCCACATACAACTGGAGTGTGGCCAATGTATCAATCACTTAATAATAGGGCTTCAGTTGACAGGGTGAACTGAAATGCTGCATTTATCCACTTCATGAACCTCCCACTGAAAGACATTTTGACAGAGTAAGTCAAAGCATCACTGTGATTCTGTATGTTCTACACAACACATAGACTGCTTGCTTAATTAATTGAGTCCCTTACCAGTATATCACTGCATGCAGTACACTTGTCTAGGGACAGCAATTTTGTTAGTAAAGAACCTTAAATCACAGCAGAGATTTCCACAGCCCTTAAAGCATAATGCTTCTATCAGGCAAGAGTTTGTATCAGCCAGAAAGCTGAAGCACAATGTGACTGTAGTTGTAAGTTAAAGACACAACACTAGGGAGCTTAAAAAATTATAACTTTTGTTATAATTAAGTGGTTACACATATCATACTGGTTTAACCTACATTCAGAAATTAGCAACCATTACAGCCTCAGCTTCTATAATTTAGCTGTTATGCTCAATTTTGCTTGTCTCCCCACTTGTTTCTTATAACTCTAGTTCGAGCATGATTTAAAAAGCTCAACATTTAAAACCCCCAAACCTTAAAAGCAAAAGACTGTCTCTAGAGTGAGTATTTTCCATTAGAACACATTAATATTTGACAGACAATCTTGAACTGGAAGCATCTCACAACCAAGATGCACAAGAATTTAACTTTATCTCTGGAATTAAGTCTTCTTTTAAATCAAATTATACTAGTTCCAGAAAAAAATAATTAGAATCAGTGTCATCTACAACTCTGAAATTAAAGCAACCTCTAATCTGGGGCTCTTTGACCAATACCCTATTTATCCACTTCATGAACCCCCCACTGAAAGGCACTCAGACATTTTGACAGAGTAAGTCAAAGCATCATTGTGATTCTGTATGTTCTACACAATATCCTGTTGGTCAAAGAGGGAAGTCAGTATTCAGCCACAGTTTTCTTTAATCTCCCTAAGTTTTTTCCTATATTCCATTTTCTTAATGAAAGATAAAATACTCTAAAGCCTACAGTGTTGAATGGTAACAATTGACTGAAATAAACAGGCAATTTTCTTAGGAAAAAAAAGCTACTTCTGGTCTGGTTTTAAACATAGCCTGAAGAACCAATTCTCATCATAAAGACAAGAATTTTGAAGCTAAAGTGCCACTTACGTTTTATTTATTATTTAACTTCCTTTCATTATTGTGTACTGACTTGTCCACAGAATCCAGCACAGACACTTCAATCCTCTGATGGCAATAGGAACTAAATTATTCATAGTTTAAAATTTTTGTCCACTACATTTCAATCAATGCTACAAACACTGATCCAAAATCAGCAACTGGATTCCTACAGAATCTGAGTATATGGCAAGACTCATGCTTCATTCACAAGTTAATTTTGTTTCCTGTTTCCAAGACCTTCATTTTCCTATGCAGCATCTACAAATCTGTTCAAGAAGAATGTTCTCTTTGATACATACAGTTTATGTATATACTTACAATATAGAATTTTTTAAGTTCACCTTTCACACACACTTTTCATATAGTTGATGTCCAGACACAAATCAACTTCCATTCCCTTTTACCAGGGTGCAGCCCAGGTGGTTACAACTACCAGTAAAAGGAAAGCACACCTACAGGAACAAGGGTTTATCTAACCACACAATAACAAGTGCTTACTAACAACTGAAAAAGAGACAATGGATTAGATTCCTTCCTTTTTTCTTCCCCCCCCCCCCAATCAGTTCTGTCCAAATAGGCAACTGGTAATTCAGACAACACCAGCCCAACCAACATTGCTTTCTAAGACAGGTTGGGGCCTTAAGGTCAGGCCCTTGGGATTGCTTAGCAGAGCTCCCTCATATTGTATTGTGCTCTCCTCACACAGGCTTTGAAGGCTGAATAAACAGTTGCAAACCCCTTTGCTGGTTCGACTCTAACATACCATCCAAGAGTTCACGTCTTATTTGTCCATCAAGCTACAAAAGGAAAGTTTTGGAAAGGCACTCCAGTGTTTTAACTGTACTCTGCAGGGGATCCATGTTGAGGCAACAGGCTTCTAGCTACCTGATGAGGTACAGAAACTGTTTATTTTGAATGATTTAATGAAATGCAAATGTTCTGGATCTCTGTACTTTTCTTTTTTTTTTTCACCTAACGAACACACTATGTGCATGAATAGCAGGGTACATTGTTTATGCCACTTCTTCCCTCTGCCCAAAGAGTTAAGGATCTCTCCATCAGCTGCCAGCTGTTATTTATAACAGCCAGCTGCATGACTTCAAAGATCCTGCAATGAATAATATTAATATAATAATATTGCACTCATACAACAAGAGACAGAAGAGGAAAAAAATTCAAGTAAATTCAGACTGCCCTCAAAATACTGACTGCTGTAAGACAGATGGCCTTTGACTTTCTATGAAGGACAAGTAAAACATATACAGAAAGAATTCTATTTACATCATTAGGTCAGGAATTAATTTTGCAGGCAAAGGAAAAGTCTAATGCAAAGGAACACCTGAAGTAAGTGTGAGATATGTTCAGAGAAACTACGGGGGGACATTTCATCAAACTGCATAATGATTTAGTATAATTTAGTACAGCCATTTAGTGCCGTTTGTGTCAGTTCTCTACACTGTACGCCTGAAGCCAACATGCCTTAGAACGTACACTGCATTTGCTAGCATTATGTTGATCCTGTAACACTAAGAAGTTGGCTTCATTCAGTACTTGGGGCTCGTTGTTTTTAGCCCAGGTATAGTGCGTCTAGTAAGAAAGAACACTCTGGAAATACTCTGATATTACAATATGAGTGACAAAAATTCAGGGACCCATGACTCCTTTAAAGCTATAGTAATAATATGGAATGGGTTTATTGGCCTCCTGTTCTAGTGGTATTTGGGAACTCTGTTTGCAAACATTTATGTTAAAATGACTACCAAGACTGCCATCAACACAAATATCAGATAGGCCTGGCAAAAAACAATTGCTTGGGCAATCTTGTGCCAATCGGAGTTTCCAGATTTAACAGTGGATTAGAAAAACCTCTAGCCAGACAAGATGACTGAAGCAAGCACCAAAACCAGCTCAAGAACATCTATGTTTCTTATGCAGGGTACTCTTCATACAAAGTTTAGCAGGATCAGAGATTGTGATTCCTATTACACAATTACAAAAACCTATTTTGTATTAATAGATATGACTGCAGAATAAAGTATGGTACCCATCTCTATGTTACCATATCCCAAGTTATTACTACAACATCAGTTCACAGATGTGAAGCATGAGAACTTCTATCATAGTGTATGGATTTAAAGCACCAATATGCTTACAGGGATTTGTTCAAAAGGTTTCGGTTGAGTTCACTATGAAATCTGCATTATGCCAAGGCAAAAAAAAATTCACAACAGAAACCCAGAAGAAATCACTATCAGCTGTTTGTTTCTAACAAATCTAAGTTTCTTAGGTACACATTTCAAGGACAGGCCTTGTTTAAAGAGCTGCATTTATTTGAAGTCTGTTTCCTGCTAACCAGCTGACAGATCAAAGGTACTTCTCAGTCCTACCATTTGTTCCCATCCCATTTTTTCCCCTCTTTTTCAACTGAGTCAAGATTTAAAATTTATTAAATTTACATTTATTTAATAAATTTAAAATTTATTTTTAAAACGATCCTTTCATCCTTTTAAGTCTTCTATTCCTTACATTTTCTCTTCCACAAAGTTTTCCTGGGACACCTCTTAAATACTGGAATCTATGCCATTGAAGTCTTTGGGTTACTTACCTACATGAAATTAAGCACGGGTGTAAGTCTAGTTTTAAGATTAAAAAATGCTTAGTTATAAGCTTTTGAGAGCCTGAACCTTTTAAGGACTTTGTAAAATGCACACTGTTGTATAAATTGCTGTGCACATATCATGGGACAATTTAATACCTAAAAAATGCCTTTATATACAAGCCTTGTACATTTAATGAAGTAAAGATTCTTTCATATACATCCATTTTTGCAACTGCAGGACCTGATTGCTGCCATATACTGGTCATCTATTCCTGTCAATTCATTATCTCAGTGATATGGAAGAAAAAAAAATATAAATCAAGATTAAACAAAATGTATTGTCTTCTAGTTAAACCAGCTACAGAGCAATGTGCTTGGGTAAGTAAATTGTCAATACTTGACTTCATAAAACGTACTCACCTGTACTCAGTTACTATGGAAATGATGATCATTAAATTGATCATAGTTTAGTTTCACCACTTTCTAACATCATTGTAACTTGATTATCTGCCTTTCAGTCCAATTCACAGACCAAGCACCTGGGATAATGCAGCTGAGTAAAGAGACATGCTAGGAACAGGCTTGCTTCCACTCTGTCCACAGGGCTTTTTTCCTTCATAAGTTAAACATAAGGATCTCAGTATTTTTCTACTTGCCTTTGCCAGTTTGGAAAACCAGTGTCAGTGCAGCTGTGGACCTGACAAAACGAGGGTCTTAAAAATCCCCCAAAGTTAAAGATTTGTAAGCACTTTTCCCCAGACATCCAGCTCCCGGCAGAAATCAAAACCAACCAAAAAAACACTTCCCTCCCCCCAAGAAAGCCCAAAACAACCCCCACAACTCCTTTTCCTGTTTAATTGCTGTTTAAGTGCAGATCTATTACTGACTTGCTGATCTCCAATAAATCACTGTCCTACCCTTAATCACCATGTCACCTTCTCTATAACAGAACACTATTAACACTGATTTGTGAAAGTATACCTAAAAAAGCAGAATACCTGATGAGGTCTGAACTGAACATGAAGAGCCACATGAATCTCAGCTATTTTTTATCCTTTAAAAAAAATCCTGGATACCTCATCTCACAT